CCCTTACAGTTTATTCCTTACACGGCTAGCGATCCATATTAAGCCCAGTCTTGTTACCATGCCTGGCTACGTGTCATACAGTTCTCAGCTTCAGTGTTGGTAGTCATTGAGGCCTGACTGCTCAGAATTATCTCTTTTCTCATTTACTATGAACTTTATCACCCTGATTTATTCTGTTTATTGCACTTAAACCACTATTTAAAAAATAGTAGGTTTTTTTTTGCTTACATATTTATTGTCTGTTTCTACCATTAGAATTGCTAACTTATTATCTTTTCAGAAAGTTTTTACATTTCCTTTGTGGATTTGACAAAGTTAGTTGGTACATAATATGTATTTTATTATTTTGTAATTTCTGTTATTTGAAATATTGCATAATTTTCATAGAAAGAATTAAAGGTTTTTTTTACCTTTGTTTCTGTAGTTTTCAATGTCTTTTTTAGTATTTCTTCTCATAGTTGTCTATCTCTTCCCCATATTTTCTCCATCCTAGATAGGAACAACAGGACTTGTTTCTTATTCATCTTTGTATCCCCAATTGTTGACACTGAAGGAGTATTTAGTAAATGTCCATTAAAATGAGAGTTAATTTTAGGGGAAGTGTGGATGTGTAACTGATGGAGAGGGAGTATATATAGCATAAGGCTTATGAGCAAAGAATTTTGTTCTCCATCACGTATTAACTGATGTGATCGTGGTCAAGTGACTTATTTTCTGTGCCCTAGTTTTCGTATCTGAAAAAATGTCATAATAGTACCTACCTTATAGGTTTGTTGTAAAGATTAAATGAGTTAATATATGTAAAACACTTAGGATAGAATCTGACACTTCAATGCTATAAAAACTAAGTGTTATTAATTCTTCAGAATTTTGAGAAAATTAGGTTATGAGAACTTTTTTTGTTGCTTAAACTAGAGAGTGCACATAACATCTGGATTTCCTGGATAATCAGATAAAAACAATCTAAGCTAGGAATGAACTATTTCAGGATACTCGATCAGAATTGAGGTAAAACTACCCCCCTGGACTTTGGAAGTCAGCCTATGTAATCTCTGGTTTTCCTAAGCGGCCTCTCTGTATAGATTTGTATTTAAATATTCACAGCCACTTGTTATATTCAAGTTTCTGCTCCTGAATCTGCAAACTTATTTGCAATTGCACTTACCTTTCATCTTTCTTGTTTAAAAATATATATGGAGAGAAGCATTTTTACTATTGTTAAAGCCTGTGTTCCTAATTCCTCAGAAAACCATCACAGGCTTTAGACCTCCCATAGGGATACTAGAAGAACAAGACAGGTGGTCCCAACCTTCCTGAGCTTATGTACCAGTGGGCAGGACAGATGATTTAAAATGCAACTATAATAAATACAGTGTGATTAGTACTACTGGAGGTGTATAATGTGCTGCAGTAGGAGCATAAATGCTTTTGAAACCATGGGCGGATGAAATGCCCAAGGGCTGTAGAAATTAAGACAAGAAAATCCTGAGGAAAATCAACTAAAAGATTGTGGAGAATGAAAAGTTGTTGGTGAAGAGGGAGAAGGGAAACAAGGAGAGTCTGGTGTCACAGAAGCTGAACAGAGAAGTGCATCTCAGGACAGAGGTAGTGATCAAGAGATACTGCTAAGCAGCCAGGTAAGGTCCTTTTCCTTCTTTCCTTTTCTAATATTTGGCTCTATAAATTATTTCTTCTAAATTTCATGTATTCCTTATTATTATCTGTTCAGTTCCTGAACTCACACAATGAGTGTGTGTATAGTGAGTTTGGTAGGTGTGGGCTACTGCATCTTCTGAATTAATTGTGTTTCTGAGTGTCAAATTAGCACAAGTTCGGATAATAAGGGATTTGTCTCATTTATGTCTGCATCTATTTGCGCCTCATGTTGGGATGGGGAAAGTTGGGGTAACTAAGGGTACTTTGGTCTCTTTTATCTTTGTCCAGTGACACTTGTTCAAATTCATTTAACAAAATTCTTTGAATTCAGATTTCCTTTACTTTTCTAGGAGTTGTTTTAACTCCCTGTTGCCAACTTTGGACTTCCCTTTCAGTGCTAAATCCCCTCAAATTTGATTTCTTCTCTTCTGATGAAATGGAATTTAAACTTGTAAAGCTAGTTATAAGGCTTCTTATTGCTAGTCCAGTGGATTTTGAAGTTGTTATCTCAACTTCTAGGCAGTTTTTGACATTGTTGACCCCTTCATCCTTCTTAGAATGTTTGTCTTTTGTGAGGCACTATATTCTTTGGTTTTCTTTCAGTTTCTCTGGCCACTCCTTAGTTTATTTCCTAGTTTTCCTTCTCTGACTTGTAAACATTGGTTCTGTAGCATGGGCTCTAGTCAGCCATTCTGCATATTTCCTGGGTGACCTTATTCATTACAGTGGCATTGATTAACCTAATTAAAGGTTTTTGGATAGCAAGTAAGCTATAAAACACTGAAGTAAATCTATAAAGATTCATGTTTTTATCTGTACATTTTATTTTTCAATGTATTTTTGTTGATTTCAAAGAGGAAGAGAGGGAGAGAAACATCAATGATGATAGAGAATCACTGATTGGCTGCCTCCTGCACAGCCCACATTGGGGGCTGAGCACGCAACCTGGGCGTGTGCCCTGACCTAAATCGAACTGTGACCTCCTGGTTCATGGTCCAGGCTCAATCACTGAGCCATGCCGGCTGGGCTGAGCAGTTATTCACATTATGAAAGTAGTTTCTAAAAATTGTGTTATGTGGTTCCGTAAACAGATACCGTGGAATATTTTGTTTGATATACACTGCCCTCCTGTGGCTAAGTTAAGCTAAATGTTTTCATAAAACTACTAGTATTTTCATTTCTATTAAACCTGTGATAAAAAAATAATATTATTGCAATGCACTGATAATATTGTAATAATAATGTAATAGAATACTGTATTTTTGCTCAGAAATATATGTAGCCATGTTGTGTTTTTCTCTAGTTTTTCCTCTTTGGTTTCTCTAGTGTGTGTCTACATTTTTCTCATTCTATGTCTTTGCACATTTCCCTATTAAAAATAAGTAAATTAAAGAGTCAAATGAAAACATGAAAAATACTAAGCTATTGAAGGGGGGGAAGGTTCATTTAAATGTAGACATGTTAGAACAAAAAGAGCCCTAGCTGGTGTGGCTCAGATGGTTGGGTGTTGTCCTGTGAACCAGGGGTTGCCTGTTTGATTCCTAGTCACGGGCACATGCCTGTGTTGCTGGTAGGGGGTATGCAAGATACAGCCACATGATGTGCTCTCACGTTAGATATTTCTCTCTCTTTCTAAAAATCAATATATTATTATTTTTTAAATTAAGTAATATGTTTTTATTGATTTCATAGAAGAATGGAGAGTGAGAGTGAGATAGAAACATTAGTGATGAGAGAGAATCATTGATCAGCTGCCTCCTGCATGCCCCACACTGGTGATTGAACCTGCAACCCAGGCAAGTGCTCTGACCAGGAATTGAACTGTGACCTCCTGGTTCATGCATCGATGCTTAACCACTGCGCCATGCCAGCTGGAAAATAAATTATTCTTTAAAGAAAAAAGGCCCAATCAGTTATAATACATGAAATTAATAGAAATCTTGGTGGAAAAACAACAGAAATGAAAAGATGAAAAATAAACTGGAAAAATATTTGCTGTAAATGTGATAGTATAAGTTTTAAGAAATTTAGTATGAAAATAGAACTATTGACAAAGGCAAAAGCATACAGTAGAGTAGAAATAGTCTCTTCAATAAATGGTGTTTGAAAACCTGGACAGGTACATACTGTTTGGGTCTGTTCTGCATATGCGCCTCCTAGTGGCTATTTTGAGAACCAGGTAAGTACCGTAGTATTATGTTGAGGGGTATGTTGAGGTTTGGAGTCACATAAGCATAGTTTGGGGTGACCTCAGGGATTTTTATAGAACTTGATGGTATCTCTTTCTTGAATCCCTTTTTCTTTCTTTTGCACTTTCTGACTTCTAGAGACCTTTCTCCCTTGTCCTGTCACTGGATAACTGGAGTTGTCATTCTTGTTTTGTTATACACTTCCACAATCACATCTGCCTTCTATGCCAATTAGCAAGATGGTAGAGAAGGAATATAAGCCATGAGGATTCTCTTCACACTCTTGGGACCTTTCTTAGAGATTTAGGTCCTTGTCTGTCCATTGCTGCTGTCATCACTCCACAACTGCTGACTTTAGATTGCCTGGAGACAGAGGCCAAGAGAAAGGGAAAACAAAACAAAATCCCAGAGGGTCCTCCTTCGCTCTTCAGACCAAAAAGGAAAAGTCTTCTCTTGAAATCATTTCTGTCTGCACTTAGAGTGCAGTTTTGAGTTTGGACTGCCATTGAGTCCAGGCTCAGTAGTCCCAAGGTACTTCTAGTTGTGGTTTCCTCCCTCAAGCCAACTGCTACCATTTTCAGAGTCCTCAGATAGCTGCTCCATGTATTCTGTTTAGGTTTCTAGTTGTATATATTCATTGGGAGAGATAGAATAAACTGGGCTTATTCTGTTTTTATTAGAAGCAGTACACAGGTACCATTTTAATTTCATTATAACTGTATTAATTTGTTTTGGTTATGCATTTTTGAGAATCCATGCTGTATTAGGCTTTGCTGGAATGTGAAGATGGAAAATCTTTAAGGTGCTTATAGTAGGTACACAGGTAGGCCTGTGATGTAGGGGTAGAGACAGAAAGTAAACATTTCATATTATGAATTAATAATTAATAATTGAGTTATTAATTATACCCCTTTTATCTATTTCTGCTTAGGTTTGACTTGTTTGTGACTAAAGGAGAGAAGATCCTATTTATATTTCATTAATATTCCATTTTTCTTATCTCAAAATAAAAGGGATGAAAAATCTCTGGATATGTATGTGCTGTATGAAATTAATACATAATTTTAATAAGAATAAGGAATATACTTAAATATATAATAAGAATAAGAACTTACAATAAGAAAAATAACTTATTACTATATACTTGTTTCTCAGGTCTTAGAAAAATATCCCAATACACCCATGAGTCATAAAGAAATTCTTCAAGTTATCCAGAGAGAAGGACTAAAGGAAATCAGGTGAGTTATTTAAATATCATTAGTAACAATTATAGTCCATATTAGAGTATTTTATAATATATAACAGTGTATTTCAATCCTGAAGATTATTTAGTGATAATTACATTGTTAATTTCTTATTTATTCAGTTGTCAGATCTTTGGTATTTTCAATTATTGCACAGTTATAAAACCAAAAGTAAGTTTTAATAAATTTTTAGAAGGTAACTATCTCTACACCCATGCACTTTAATTCTTATGCGGCCTAGAGCCATCTTCAAGCCTTCATCTATCAATTCAGGCTTTTGATTTAATAAGTTCAGTCATTAGCTTATAAAAAGTACTCTAGTGCAAGGAGAGTACTAGAGGTAGACAGTCTAGGAAGAAATAACTTTGGCTACAAAGCACACAATGGAATAGATAAATACAAAGAGTATATATTTCATATATTAGTCTTACTTTCAAATATAGCAGCCTGGGATAAATTAATATAGGATTGAAGGTAAACATATTTTAATTTATAAGAGCCTTATTATATTACAACTAGAGGCCCCGTGCACAAAATTTGTGCATGGGTGGAGTCCCTCTTCCTGGCTGGTGATTGGGGCCAATCAGGGCCAGTGGCCAGGGAGGGGCCTTATGAGGGTTCCAGGGCATGTCTGGCCCCATCTCGCCCTGTCCCGATTGGCCAGACCCCAACAGCAAGCTAACGTACTGGTTGGGAGCATCTGCCCCAGGTGGTCAGTGGACATCATAGTGACCAATCAGTCCACTGCACGTTAGACTTTTATATATATATATTTTTAACTCACAACGTGGAATGCTTGGTATGCACTTTTCCTCCAGCCCCTGGCGTTGGAGACATCATGTCCTTCCTAGGCTCTGCCTACCCTCTTCAGATGCCACACAAAATAAATTGCATCATGTGTGTGGAAACCCTTTGTAGGCTCCATGGGTGTGTCTTTACTTTATGCAGTTCCGATGACCCCAACATAAGGAGAGAGACACTCATCAGGTAACACCATCGTGGTGAGACTTCTGCTCAGCCTACTGCAGCAGTTTTAAATAGGCCGTCTATCATCCTAAATGGTTTGGTTCAGTGGATAGAGCCCTGGCCTTTGGACTGAAGGATCCTGGGTTCGATTCCAATCAAGGGCACATTCCTGGGTTGGGCTCAATCCCCAGTAGGGGGCATGCGGGAGGCAGCAGCGGATCAACTCTCTCTCATCATTGATGTTTCTGTCTCTCCCTCTGCCTTCCTCTCTGAAATCAATAAAAATATATTAACAAAAATAGAAATAAATAGGCCATGAATTAAATGTCACTGCTGTATGTTCAACATACTTTGTAGGTTAAGGCGGAAATCTGGGAGTTTACATTAGAGATATTTTCATTGAGAAAAGCTTGTGCTTTAAAACTGCTACTAGTTCTCAATAGAAGACAGTATTGTTTAGGGAAAGTGTTCAGAATTTTGGGGAGCTATTTTTTTTTGCGGCCGGGTTTGGGGGGAGGCACTGTTTTTTGATTGCCACAATGACTAGAAAGTAACAGGGTGCTAAATGTCTTCCTTTGAAAAATTGTTCACCTCAAATGCCAGTAATATTTCTATTGAGAAATAGTGCGTTATGCTGATACACTTGTAAATAAACAACAAAATATTATAGATTTTCATTCTCATTTTTTTTCTTTACCATGAAATTCAATTTGAGTTCGTTTTTATTGCTTTTCTTTGCTAATGCAGTTAAAAACTTTTGATTTGTGGCCAAATTTCAGTAGGTTGGGGATAAATTAAGTTTGCTTTATTAATATAAAAGATGAAGTATAAATTAGTAAAACTTGCTTTATATAATGTATGCCCCTGAAAAATTGTGTGAACATTTGTAAATTAAAATGTATTTGAAATATGTTAGCTCTTAAACATAGTTTTTGTAAATTATTTTAAGATGTATCAATGATATATTCCAAGTTGTTATTGTTATTTGAATTAGTCATATTTATTAGATTAAAATTAAAGCACAATACCCACTTTATCACACATCAATTTGTATAAGGCTGTAGGAGAAGAGGATAAGTGATTATTGTGACTAAGGAATGGATTGAGCTAAGGTATTCTAATATCCGTTTATAACACTATTGGATCTTATAGAATGGGAATGAGCTGGGGATTTCATTCTTTTCTTTTTTAAATTTATTTTTAAATTATTATATTTTAATTTATTTTTAAAAAAATATATTTTATTGATTTTTCACAGAGAGGAAGAGAGAGGAACAGAGAGCCAGAAACATCGATGAGAGAGAAACATTGACCAGCTGCCTCCTGCACACCCTCCACCAGGGATGTGCCCGCAACCAATGTACATGCCCCTGACCGGAATCGAACCTGGGACCTTTCAGTCCTCAGGCTGACGCTCTATCCACTGAGCCAAACCAGTTTTGGCATCATTCTTTTCATAAAATTAGACTTGATACACACTGGGGAAATCAGTCAGGAAATCTGGTATGTAGAGATCAGACTTTACCAGTCCTTTAGGTCAAAATGCCAATTGCAGGTTCACCCAGCTCTAACATAGTAAGGCTCTATGACTTTAAACTTGTCATTATCATTTCTAGGGAGTAGGCAAGAACAGTAAATAAGTAAAGAATGTAAATTAAAAAAAACAAACAAAAAAAAAACAGAAGGAAGAACTTATGCTGGTGCAGTTATGTGACCACAACCCAGTTCTTTCTCCAACTCCATGGGACTTTTGGTTCTCACCTCTCTTGTCAGCATTACTTATCACAGCTGATGACTACTTTTTCTGGAAACTGTTTTGTTGTCTGAAGTGACCACAAACATTCCTGTTTACCTTCCTCTATTAAGTTTTTCTTCTCTCTTTTTCTCATTTTCTCCAACTTATGTTCACTTTCATCCATTCTCATAGCTTTAAATGCCAGTTTTGGCTTGTCAGTTCCCAAATATGTAGGGCATTTGCTGCCCACTGCAGCCTTGACACATGCTGATGCTTTAGCAAGGAATGTGCTTTCCTCACTTAACGCTTTTACTTATTTTTCAGGTGTCAGTTTGAATGTCTTTTTCAGAAAACTTGGACTTTCTGGTCTAGATTACATTTTCCTTTTTTAGTTTATTATAGTGTTCTGTGTTGTTTCTTCATGGCAGTTAAAGTTTAAAATTACATATTTTTGTAATATTAAAAACATCATGTAGCTTCTCTATAGTTTAAGCTAGCTCCATTAGGGCAGTAACACTGTTTGCTTTTCCCATCCCACTCTGCCCTTACCCACTCCTCCCCCCCATAGTCCTTGGCATATAACTGATATTGAAAACCTACGAAATGTAAGTTGGAAGATCATGTTCAAATGTAGTTATAACTTATTCTTGTTGCTGTGATATGTCAAATGATAGTTTTATAATCTTTAAAATTTGTAGACGGGTTATAGAATGAAATGGATACTATGCTTATTGAAGATGTGCTATTTTTTTTTTACAGTTTTATTTTTATTTCTCAGTCCTCAATACATGCATTTCAACTCTTTTTCCCTTTGTAGTTTTTTGTCTGCTTGCCCATTTTGAAGAATCTTGCTTAATTTGTTTTGGATGTTGGTGACTAAATAGTTCCTGGTGTTACAGAATTTAAACATCTTTTTTCTTTTGTGATAAGATGCTTTGACTTACATTACAGCCTAAATTTATAAGTCAGGTACTGAAAACAGTTTTTTAAATATAAAGGTTTGCTTTTGGAAAATTCCAAACTAAAAAGTGTGCACATTGTCCAGTATAAATTACAAACAGTCCTTCCAACATTCCAGTATGTATCTAACAGTTAAGAATTCAAGAGACTATTTGTGTGCAATTTGGATATTCTGTATTGTTATCAGAAAAGAGCAACTTAATATAGACTGTAAGCATACATAATATTGATAACACATATACACAGAATAGTACATAGATCAAAGTGCTTATGTATACTTCGAGACTGTTCCTGCTCACCATTTACTGGTCTCAACAACTCATTACTGCTTAGTCTGTTGTAAAGCAGGTTTCTTCCCTCCATCAGCTGTGGCTGCCATTAATGTTTATAAATTTGTTTTTACAGCATTAAGTGTGTAGGACTGCAAGGCTTCCTTCTGAAGTAGTCATTGCTTTTAATGCTTCTCCCAATGAAGTCTTTTTAACTTGCTTTGCTCATCCTATTAGCTATACACTGAGTGGCCAGATTATTATGATCTCTGAATGAATAATCTGGCCACTCAGTACGTGTGTGTGTGTGTGTGTGTGTGTGTGTGCGCGCGCGCACGCACGCACACACACACACACACACACATACACACACACACACACACACACACGTAGTAGAGGCTCAGTGCATGAATTTGTGCATGGGTGGGGTCTGGCCAGCCTGGTCAGGGAGAGGGGACATGGGTGGTTGGCCGGCCTTCCTGCCTGGTCAAACTCCTAGTCAAGGGGACAGTTTGAATATTAGCCTTTTATTATATAGGATATACACTGAATGGCCAGATTATTATGCGTTCAGAGATCATAATAATCTGGCCACTCAGTGTATAGTCTTGGTCCTTATTATTAACAGCTAACAGATAGAGTTTTGAGGAAAGAAGCGAAAGAAGAGTATTCATTTCCCGAGATCCTATTCTCTTATTAGTTTTTCTTATCTTTCATGAATAGAAGAGGAAAATGAAATTAGGAAGATTCTTAGTCTTCATGAATTTATCATCCGAAGATTGAGTATTTTTTTAATTAGACCATTCATCAGTGGTCCCCGGGGTTCATGACACATAATGGTAATTTTGGTGAGTCATGAATTTGAATCTTTTACACCATAAGATTGGTGAGGAACAGTAAATTATGTAATGAGTGTAGCCAACTGCCTAGCTTTTATTTTATTTTAATTTTTTTGTTAATCCTCACCCAAAGGAAATTTTTTTCTCAATCTTTAGAGAGAGTGAGAGGGAGAGAGGAAAGATGGGGTAGAGAAAAAGAGGGGGAGAGAGAAAAAAACATGAACT